GGATTAAAGGTGTGAGTGCCACCATTTTCTAGCCTTTGTATTTAGTGGCTGTCTGTTCTCTGACCCCAGATAAATTTATTAGAGTACACAATATTTTGGGGAACACAATACCACCACAGAAGAAGAAGAAGAAGAAGAAGAAGAAGAAGAAGAAGAAGAAGAAGAAGAAGAAGAAGAAGAAGAAGAAGAAGAAGAAGAAGAAGAAAAATGATGCTGTGGGATGTTCTGTATGTTAAATGTGTTGCTCTGATTGGCTAATAAATAAAATACTGATTGGCCAGTAGCCAGGCAAGAAGTATAGGTGGGACAAGCAGAGAAGAGAATTCTGGGAAGTGGAAGGTTGAGGCAGAGAGACGCTGCCAGCCGCCGTCTAAGCCACAAGCCACATGGCAACTTATAGATTAATAGAAATGGGTTAATTTAAGATGTAAGAACAGTTAGCAAGAAGCCTGCCATGGCCATACATTTTGTGAGCAATACAAGTCTCTGTGTGTTTACTTGGTTGGCTCTGAGCAGCTGTGGGACTGGCAAGTGAAGAGAGATTTGTCTTGACCATGGGCCAGGCAGGAAAACTGTAGCTACAGAAGAAGAGGGAGAAGAAGAAGGAGAAGGAGAACGAGAAGGAGAACGAGAAGGAGAACGAGAAGAAGAAGTCACTATATGTCTGCATGTGATAATGGGCTATCAATACAAACTGCCTGATTCATTGCTGCTTCATTAACAAATCTAGATGTAAATTTAAATTCGATTGTTTTGTCTTAATAGTGCATGGGTACCCTAGCATCTTCTTACTGAAATACACATTACCATCATTTTCTCCTTAAATGCCTCTGTAGTAGTTAATTTTCTTATTGCAGTGACCACATACTCATCAAAGAAGCCAACTAAATGGAGGAAAGAGTTTGGCTCAAGGCTTGAGAGACTCTAGTCTTCTCAAGTAAACTTCTCTAGAAACACCCTCATAGATATGCCTCAAAAAAAATGTGCCTCCTAGATGATTCTAAACCAAGTCAAGTTGAAGCTGACCACAACCTTACATTTAGGAGGTAGCAACTCCTAAAGGATCTGAGTCTATGGGGAGTGTTGGAGCCCATTTAGGTTTCTAGTGGCTTTAACCAGCAGGTCTACCTAAAGAGGATGATTGGACCATGAGCCTAAGTACCAGGTGTCTGAGATGGTCTGCACTTGGCTGTCCTGGGGGGGAGGTCTTTTGCTCCACCCCTTAGCATTCCTTTAAAAACCCTTCGGCTTAGACAGTTAGGGCCTGATGGATTAGGATCCAGGCCCTCCTGAGGCTATCCTGTATTTTCTATCTGTTTGTCTCCCCTCTTTACTTCTATTGAATATTTCCTGCTGCTTCTACTCAAGAATACTCTGGGGAAGAGTCGGGGTGGGATGGCCCCCAACAGGGGAGGTTACATCACTGCTTTGGACACACCCCATGTACCTCTTTAGATTCCTGGAATACACCACCTGTCTCCTACTCTTCCAGATGCTTGGAGCAAACGAGTTGCTCGCTTAAAAACATTGCTCCCGGTGGATCTCTGTGAGTTCGAGGCCAGCCTGGGTTACCAAGTGAGTTCCAGGAAAGGCGCAAAGCTACACAGAGAAACCCTGTCTCGAAAAACCAAAA